TAAATGAAAGACAACATGGTCTCATCTGCTAGATTTTATGGCTCACTGGGTTTAACACCGTATTTTACTCTGGCTCTACCACTGTCAGGTACCATGAAGTATAAACTTAACAGAGAAATGTAAGAAAAAAGAAAGCTGTGTAAACTGAAAGCTTATTTTGCATGATTTTACACGCTACCTCACATTTCACTGACAATATACATTTATCAGATGCAGACAAGCAGATCTACTGACACACATAATTCTTCACTGAGGCCATCTGCAGAATATTTAATGTGGAATGCCTTTCCTGGAAATAAGTGTTCAGAGAACTAAAAAAGAAATACATTTCATTCTAGTTTCCTTGTTCTCTAAGAGCACTCCCCCATCTGTCCTGCCTGACATCTCTATCAGCATTCCCAGGTGCCCAGGGAGGTTTCAGACCCACAGTCCCCAGCTGGAGCAGAGTGAACTCAACACCAGCGCCTGCTGGAGAGTTAAAGATCAGCTTTTGGCTGCCAAACCTCAATGGCTCTTTTCTGCACCACTGAAAAGCACGAGGATGCTTCAGTGAACATTCTAGGTTGTTGAGGTAGATGAATAGTCAAAGCTGCTTTTCTGGTACCACCCTCTGTGTGCAGGCTGGCACCCTCCCATGGATCCCAAAGCCCCACGTGGCTTCTCTTGCATGCTCCACTTAGATCATATTGGTTTTGCTATCTAAAACTTGTATTCCATTAAGTTACCAGAGTCATCCTAAGGCTTTGGATGAGGAAGAACTCCCTTCCCTTTTCATTTGGGTTCCCCAGGTCAGTCCCAGCCCAGGGATGCTCAGTGAAACATGTCCTGAGCATGAGTGATGTGCCTGACTGCTCCAGAGTGGAGAGACTGCACAGCAGAAGGACTGCAAAGGTAATCTCAGCTTCCACTTTTCTCATTTAGAAGGAAAGAGCCACCTGGACCTTGTAATGTGCCTAGAGAGCCACCTGAGCTTGAAAAGGGGGGACAGGGAGTTTACCTGCAGGTAGAGATTGTATTCTGGTACACTGCATGAAAATGTCACCAGGGAGCTCTCAGGGGGACAAAGACCCTGTGGCTTTGCCCCAAAAAGCACAACCATGTCTCTGTTACAGAGTACTTGGGATAACCAAAGTCAGCAGAAGATTAGGAGGAAATCAACTTCCTTTCTCCTTTACACACCTTTTTGAGAATCCATTGCTTATGGCCACCACAACAAACTGCATTACACCTTACAGTATAAAACAGCATCTGCAAAGTGCCATCCACAGGCCCAGGGATCTCGATCTTTAGCTCTTCTTAGTTTATTAAAACACCATTTTTGTATATTTTTAAAACACTGACAACTTCAGGGATAATCCATAAAGATGGGATGTGTGTGACACAATCTAATGGATATTCAACTTCTATTTCATGTTCTCTTTCTCATGTCAGGCTCAGTCTGGCTGGTATGTTGAAATCTTTTGATTAAATCCTCTTACTTCACTGCTTCCTTATTGAAACTCACCCTTTGTCTGGCAAAATTTTAATTACTACAGGACTGCATAACTCCATTCAGTGCTCTGATAACACCTCTGTGATAGGAGCAAAAGCAATTCCTAAGATAGAATGCAACTATAATACTCTATCATTATGTCTTCTTTTATGGCTCCTAGCACCCTCTTTATGGCTGCTAATATATTGTGGTTTCTGCCTTCCACCTACTGATTTCTTCTCTCCTTCACTCAATGTGTCCTTTTTCTCACCCAGAGAATTAACACCCTATCTCTGTAATCTCTTTCCTGCTCCCAGAAATAATGTAGGGAAGGTCTCTTCTCCTTGTCATGCTATTCTTTCCCGTCTCTCAAAGACAGGGGTTTTTACAATGCTCTGCATGTTCTGCAACACAATCAGCACCCAGGATGTGCTGTCTGCTCTCAGGGGTGCCTTCAGCATGCTGGGTGCACCTAACCCAAAGGTCAGAGCAGGAATGCTCTAATCTTCTGAAAACTGAACTAAACAAGCTTAACTACACCTCAGAGAAGAAAGCACAGCAGCTTTTCCTCCCTCTTGGCTCTGCTGGGTTGCTGACTCCCACTGACATCAAGTAACCACCAAAAACAGACCAGGTTCTGCTCCAACAGGACAGGTAGAATTTTAGAAGTGAAATGTACACATACATTACCCTGTAATTCTAATTTAAAATTCCATTTGAGGATTAATAGCAATGGCCTCCCTTTCAGGCAGTTCTCTCCACTTCCACTCTCACAGCAGCTGTATTGGCTCACACTATCAAAAGCCTTAAGGGGAACAGGTCAGTTGAAAATCACTGCTCTGAGATAACATATTTCTACACCTGAGAAGCCAAAAAGCAGCAATTAAGCACAGCAAAATAAATAATTCAATAGCTAATTTGACCTGCCAGGTTGCAGAGTATTTTTTTATATCCTACCAGATTGTAATTTAGTTTAGAAGAAGTGTCCCTGGAGAGCAATGCTGTGAGAGCCCATAAAATGCTATAGTATGATATCAGGCAAAAAGCCACCTGTAAATAGGCCACTATTGTTTAAAGAAGTTTTTTGTTGTTGTCAGTCCTGCATATTTCATGAGAAAGTGTGATGAAGTCCTTCTTTGATTCTTTATGAATTAATCTGCCAACTGATTAGGCAGGTAAAGCAGCCATAGATTGGGAAACTAAATTGCACTGCAGGCACTTGACTTTTAGATAGAACACAAACCAAACAGAAAGCTAAATGCTCTTTTCTGTGGTAAAGGAATTGGCTCCTTTTTAATTGCCTCACAAATAATCCATAGACAGCTTTTAGTGGGAGCAATCCATGTGGCCTCTGAATACATAAATAAGCACTGAAAATGGGGGGAAATATTCATGCAAGGTGCAACTTAGTGGGAGAATAGAACAGCAAGAGCTTTAACAAGAGACTCCCACCTGATTGCTGAGTTGGTGGGGCAGTGCTAACCTGGTGTGAAAAAATAGAGCAGTCCAGATGGAAGGACCTCAGTTCCTCCCAGTCAGAGGAGATGAGATGAAAATGGAGGTGACAGGCAACCCCATGTGCACAGGTGAACTAAAACTGGGAGAAGTGGGTGAGGCAGGGATTGAGATGGCTCTGAGCAGCCACAAAGGCTGGAGTGGAACAAGGGGAGAAATACCAGGGAACACTCTGAGCCCTCAGGCTGAAATGGAGGGACACAGGAGGCTCCTGGAGCACATTTCTCTCCCCATTGATCACTGAGTGCCCCACAGCAGGGACAGAGCCTGGCTGGAAGGAAGGTGCACCAGGCAGGGGCAGAAAACACAAACCTTTTATCTTGGATGTCCTCTCTCATTTACTGAGCACTCCAGGTTCTTGCTGCGCTGATCTCAACCCTTTCTGACAGTAAAAAACCAAACCCTAACAAACCCCAAAGCAACCACAAAGCCCTTTCCTACTTACTGACACCATTACTGAGCTTCCCTGGGTATAGTACATCAGATGGATCTCAATCCTTATAAAATGATAACAAAATTCTCCTCAAGCCCCAGAATACTGCAGCTTGGGAAGGACAAGCACAGGGGACAGCACCCAGAGCATGCTCTCCCCAGTCTCTGATCCTGGCCCATAGCTGGTGTTACCCTAGATGAATGATTGAAAAAAAATGTGAAAGATCTACTTGCTTTAAAAGGAAATAAATAAATTAAACCAGCTCTTAAACTTCTAGAAAATTACTACAGCTGCTATTATAGCCTAAGATAGTCCTAAAGAAAAAAGATGGGATGATCATAAAACAGGTGCACTACAAGACTTATTTTATTGCATCTCCCATTTTATAAAGATATTCATGAACATATAAAAATAAACACTCTACTCCTTTGCAATTAAGTTTCTCTCTAGTTGTAAGTACAGCTATTTTTAGTTTTAATTTGAGGATATCTCCCAGAATTGCGGAGCATAATCATTTCCACCATAACTCTGCATCATCATTATCAAATACCAGCCTATCTTTGGAAAATGCACATTTTACATGCCAAAGGTTCCAGAAGTCCTTTTGCAGCTGATGGTACAGATCAGCTCCTACAGTCCCAACTTCCAGTAATGCCAAATATTGGCCACCAAGTGGTGCTACAAAGATTTATTCCAAATGCAGTTCTGGCCCATTAAACCAAAAGGGGATGGGGAAAGTCATGCTAATTTCAAGCCCTATTAAAATTGCAGGCAATAATTTAATGTTTCCCTCAAATGTAAATGCAAGGAAATTTATGAGGAAATCAGATTGGTATTCAAGTTTCTAGGAAGAAATGATAGAAAATGATGAGGAGGTAAAAGAAGCACTTGAAATCCTCCAGCCCAGAGCCTCCTTAATGGTGTCTCCCCATCTGACTGCTTTGGGATTTCACACCCATCGTGGTTCCAATTACTCCTCTCTCCACAGAGCCGTGCTAGACCAGGCACAGCAGCTTTTTTATGGTCTTGCAGCCATTGCAGGAGCCTGTCAGCAATGCTGCAATAATGAGGAGCACAATTCAGGAGTGCTTGCTGAGGTGATCCCTGCAGCCTCCTGTCATGGACATATTTTCTGAAAAATGCTTTTGCTAAGATCTTTTCTCCTGAGAAGCTGAGAGACCTCAGAAATGAAATGTAAACAATAATTATCAGCGGCTGTGGAGGCCAACAGGTGCATCTGTGAGTGGTCTCATGTGGTTGTTTCTAATTGATGGCCAATCACAGTCCAGCTGTCTCAGACTCTGGTCAGTCACAAGATTTTATTGTAATTTCATTCCATTTCTATTCCTTTCAAGCCTTCTGATGAAATCCTTTCTTCTATTCATTAGTATAGTTTTATTATATAATTTTCTTTTAATATAGTATATATCATACAATAATAAATAAGCCTTCTGAAACATGGACTCAAGATTCTCCTCTCTTCCTTCATCCCGGGACCCCTGCGAACGCCACCACAGCCTCCTCATCCTCCCTCAGCCCTGTCCCAGTGCCACTGTCCCTCTGGGCACAGCCAGCACTCACCAGCCAGTGTTGAACTCCACGTGGGCATCGAAGAACCCCACCACGGGGGATGTTGCAGCTTTCCAGCCCTGGATCCTGGCTCGGATCAGCCCCTCACGTTTGTTGTTGCGCACGATCTTCACCAGCCCCGGGTACCTCTTGTGCACGTACTGGTCCAGGTTAAACTTCAGCTCAACTGCAGGGCAAAATCAAAAACCACACAAGCATTTAGAATGAGAAAGGCCCTGCAATGTTGTGTTTTACTCTTATTCTGCAACAAAAAGGGAGAGGAGTCCTTAATTATTGCCAAACCCTTGGTGAGTCCCAGAGATACAAACCCAGCACCGAGGCATGGAGCAGCTCCAGGGGTTTCAGCCCAGAGAAATTCCCCACAGACCAGAGACTTGCCCAGCTTTAATATGGATTTGAGTATACTGTCGAAGAGGTAGTTTTTAAAAAATTACTATTTAAAAAAAATTACTATTCTGATTCTCTGATGATTTGCATTATGTTACAACTGGCCTCTGGAGGAGCAATTCTGACTGTAAGCAAGTGTAACATGCCAGTCTGGTGATTTCTTTTTTCTGATTTATGCTGTTCAGTAGGAGTGAGGAAAATAACCTCAATGGATTTTGGGTCAAGAAGTAATTCAGATCACAATTAATTTCCCTTCATTTTCAGGGTTTCCCCTTAAATATAATTAAGATTCTTCAATACTAGGCTTCTTTCCTCTTTAACTAAATGGATATTGAAGATCTCAAATAGACTTCTCTTTTGTTCATTTTCAGGCATTCAATCACAGATGGAGCAGAACTCATTCACCCTTTTCAGCTTCATTTCAAGAGGCTTATAAACAGGCAAATTACCAAAATGGTCTCCCTATTTTTTTTTTTTTTTAATCAATGTAGTTTGGTAATTCATTTACTCTGCAACTTAATCATAAAGTGGCTTTTGCCTAAATATCTTTATCAGAAAAACTAGTAGAAGCTTCCAGGACATTAGCAGCCTCATTTTTCTGATCTATATTAGACAGTAGAATCATTATCATTAGAATCAAAGACTTGATAAATCTCCAGTTATTTAGAAGAGTGGCAGAGAAAAGCCATATAAGAGTTCACTGAGAAATGATGAGTTCAATTCTCCTCAGGATTGCCTTGACTCAAACACTTTGCAGTCTCACATAATTACTCCACAGGTTACACTGCCATAACTGAAATCTGAATTGCATAAACACTTTCTTAAATCTATAGGTTTTGGAACTTATTTTCACTTGAGTTGTCTCCTCTCTCAGTTCTCTCTTCAAGGATCTTGAAGAGTAAGAGCAACTTAAAACTGAAAGAACTTAAAGCTGTTGATCTGAGGAAGAAAGGCTAAATTTTAGACTTATTGGAAATAAATATGATTTTAGAAGAGGAATCAGTTCTAGAAGTGTAATGTCAGATTTAAACACAGCTCTTGTCCCTTGTATCCTGAGAATCTTCAAACATGACTATAATAGCACCTTGTGAAACATGCTGATAATAGCACCCTATATGCTCACCAATATTTGGATTTTTGGGTTAAATCACGAAGAAACAATGTGCTGCCATATAAAAGACTAGAAACTATCTCTAAAGAGAATCTGTAGCCTCACTTTTCTTTGGCAGCAGAATTTGAACGTTTATTCTATTGATGATGATGATATTCCTCTGGATTTGGAGAAAAGTGTCCTATTAAGATTGCCTACATAAATGCCATTCATTCTGTTGGGATTTCAATGAAATCAACAGGCTTTATCCACCTAATGTTTATTTGTTATACAAATAGTCAATATTTACTCACAGCTTTGCGCAAATGGCTCGATCAACCCTCCCATCAACAAACACATTTACATTTCACACCTAGAAACCACACGATGCTTAGAGGCAAAGTGACAAAAGCTCACCATTGTCACTGTTGTCATCCACCAGGATGATCTCCTTGAGCAGGTGGGACGGGGTGTGGTTCACCACGCTGTGCACGGAGCGCAGGATGACAGAGAGAGCCTCGTTCACAAAGATGAACACCACCGAGATCTGGGGCAGGTCCTCCGGGTAGCTCATCTGCTTGCACCTGGAGAGGGGAAAGGCACAATTAAAACCCAAGCAGCCACTGGGAGCCAAACCAGACTGAAGAGCATCCTCCTCTCCTTGCTCTTCACCCGTGTAGGGATTTGCAGAATTTGTCTTTTCTTGATTCTTGAGGTTTTAGCTTTAGCTGGGGACCAAGGACAAATGATCCAAATCTCAGGCCCAAGAGCACAAACAACGTGGGCTGAAAAGAGAAAAACAAGGATGGGACTTCATAAGCTAAAGCTGGAATTGGACAATTAACTCCAAGATGCAAAAGGACCAGAACTTTTCAAAGATGACCAGCCATCCATTTTGTGACCATTTTGGTTCATCTTGGGTGTAGCCCTGGCTGGGCTCTTGTGCTGCCCAAGGTGGATCCATTGAGGCCTTTTAATGAATACCTACTTTATTTTTTAGCTCTATCCAGCCTCTATTCTAGGCCAGCCTTCACAAGGCATCATTCTAACCCCAAGGAAAGATGTGGTAAAAGCTCAAAAGAATCAGTCTGGTTAGGAGCAGCCCTCTCCATCAGCCCAGTGTATAACACAGGGTGTGTGCATGCACATGCTTTATGCTATCTGTGCATGCACACAGATTTGTAGCAGCTCTCCTTTCCTGTGAGGTTAAAAGCATCTCTTGAAAACCAAAGGACTATCAATTGCTCTGCTCAAAAATAACCTGGAGAAGGCCTGCAATGGCACACCTTGCCTGGGCTCCATGGGGAACCTCCAGCAGCTTTGCTGCTAACTCACAACTGCAGCAGAACTTTAAAAGCAGCATTTGCTCAAGCAAATTTTGCATTTGCCCACAGAGAGAGCACTTTGCCACCCTTTCTGACTGCACAGTTTGTGCAAAAAGAACAAACACGTGGTGTTTGTTGTACAGGCCTGCACTTGCTGAATTATCTGCAAACAGGTCTGCTCCCTCTGAGATGTTGCCTTGCTAGGCTGCTACATCCTCATTCACAATTTGTTTTTGTGCTGCTCACTGATAGATATATTTTACCACAGACCATTTTGAGAAGAAAACCTGAGGCCTGGAGAAGTTGCACAGCACAGAGCAGAACTCCTGCTTCCCAAGTGCTCAGCCCATGCCCCTCTGTAACACCACGCTGCCCTATTTCAGTGGGATTCTCCCCCATTAGCAAAGAGGCTAACTTTAAAAGCTACCTACCTGTTCTCACAGTCAAAAAGCCATTCAGAATTACCATAGCAATTGCTGAACTTGCTCTCTAAAATACTGCTAATGATATCACAGAAAATGACTTCTCCTGCTCTTATCAAACTTTCTGACCTCTATGCTCATTACTTTGGCATAACAATCACTTTTTTCCCCACTATCAGCAGTCATGGGGATAGGGCAGGTGACAAATGCTTGACTGCTGGGTAACCTCTGCAAGTCAGTTATGAATTCTAGTAAAGTGTAATGATTCATAATTCCTGATCCCAGCACTATGTGCTCAGAGACCTGAGCACTCATCATTGATTCCAGTGCTACCATAGTTACTCACTGGCAGCCTGTGCCACACAGAGGACCACTCTGTAAAACTTCTGGCTAAGCAGCATTCTTACACAGCCTAAAAATAAACCTGTAACAAGGAGAGAGGTTTTCAGGAGGCATGAATGTTCTGACACAGTCCCCTTTTCTAAATTTCTTTTTTGAATTTCTTTTTTGAATTTTTGAATGCAATTTTCCTCTTGAGCACACTGGCTTATCAAAGAAGTGCATCAGGAATACTGCAGTAACAGGAATGAGCCATCAGCTAAAAACATGGACCTTGCAAGGTTTCCTGTGATGAGGGACATCTTTTACCTGACAGCAATTTTCTCTAGAGTCCCACACATCTCAAACTGCAGCTGAGGAAATCAGAGCAGTCCCCAGGGAGTGGGTGCCCTGCTGGTGCAGGTGAGGCAGAGGAGGAAGCCCACCCCAGGCCATCCCTGCTCAGAGGGACCTCAGAGAATTAGGAATTTTGCTGAACATTTCTGAGGAAAAAGTATTTTCTTAATTGGCAAGTGAACTGAAACACCTGGGTACCCAGCTGCATGTTGCTGGTCAGACTGACAGGGTAACTACAAGTGGGACCAATTTCAGTGCTTTTCTGCCATCCTCCCACTTTAATTCAGAGAAGAAAAGAAAAAAAAAAAAGAAAAACAAATCTAATTCTAGCTGTAAAACCAGCACACCTGAACCATAATCTCCTAATTTTTGATTTATTTGTTCTTCATCACATTAAATCAATGCGTTATTGTCCCAAGTGTGGCTCCATGGCCTTGCTGGTTCACAAGACTTTTCATGCCTTAGTTCTCAGTGATTACTTACACTGTAGGGCATCAGAGACTGCTTTAGATAAAAAGCTGGTATGAATTTCTTATTCCACCTGGATGAAGTCATGCCTATCACTTCTCACTGCAGCCTTTTGTTTCTCAGTTCTTCCCTTTTTTTTTCTATTAGCAGGACATAGTTGAAAAACTGCATTTTGACTGCATTTAGAAAGAGCAGTCCAAACAAAATATATTGGAATATCTTTGGTAGTGCCACTGCAACAGGAACACCTAGATGGGAAAAAGCAAAGCTCAGAATTTAGCAGTAGTTTTAAAGCTGCCATAAATTTATTTATTGCAGCGAGGATGAAGAACAGCAAAAGCAGCTGTCCAGCTGAGCACTTTCCAAAGCACAGCAGTGATTTAAGGGTTTATTTCCTGCAGGCTTCAAGTCAACCTTGAACTCCCAACTCCTTAGGTCACTTCACAAAATGAGATTGATGTGCTGAGGTAGACAGGAGAAATTACTGGTCCACTACCAAACACTTCTGATGATGCTTGAGAGCATGAGCAATCCCAGTTAAGGTGTCTTTCCTTAAAAATCAGTGGGTGCTTTAAGTGCTTTGCTGGATTGTTGCCTGAGTTCTTCCCAAAGTGTTCTCTAATTAGACACCAGCCACAGCAATTTACAGTTAACACTTCCTTCATTCCAAGAAACTCTAACCAGGGTTTGATGCTCCTAGCCAAACAGAGACATGAGCAAACCTCACCCTGCCAAGCACACCCAGCTTTGGGTGCCACCTCAGCCACCCCTGCTCAGCCAGAGCCTCACAAGGGCTCTGCACTGGGTCAGCCAATGGTGCCTGTAAAAAAGGGACACAAAGAGTGACAGAATTCTCCTTGCAGCAGCCCTGGACTGGCCCTGGGGGAGGCAGCAGGGGACAGTTCATTACAGAGGAGAGGGAAGGCTGTAACAAGCCAAAGGGCATCCTTGCAGAAAAGAACTGGAGCAGCAGCCTGGACACAGAGAAAATCATCAGGCAAAAACCTATGAGCTAATGATGGGGCAGCTTAGCACAAGAATAGGCACTTTTATTATTTCTTTTGAGAAGAAAATTACCAGAATTGGAAGAAATTAAACTGTACAGAATGCACTAACAAGGCACAGCTTTATAATCCTTCAGCCTTACTGCCAACAGAACCGTGGTAAGAAATGTGGAAATATCCCTTTTTCAGCCCTGATGCTGTGCAGTGCCTGAGTGTTTGAAGCTGAGGGTTCAAACTGAGTGTTTGAAGCTCCCAGTGCTCTGCCAGGGAAGGGAGCTGGATCCCACCACAGTCTTCCCTTCCCTGCACCAGGTCTGACCACATTGAACTGTGGGAGCAAGAACAATTTCAGCAATGGACAGCTGAAACCCGGCCTTGTTAACACCAGCACTCCTGAGTTGAGGAAGAATTGAGTGCACATTTGACCTCTGTGGTAGCTAAAGATGGTGTGAGCTGGGCATAGCTCACATCCAATATTCCTGTGATTTTAAATCAGCATTCAGGACTGCCAGCAGGTCCCACAGAGTCCAAGCAGCAGAGGAGCCCAGGGCTCCAGGGCACACAGGTACCTGGGCAGGGACCTGCTGGATGCCCGCAGGACTGGGGGCTCCAGCAAAGGCTGACAATGCCATGGCTAATCACTTCCATGGGCCAGCTGAGGATGGATTAATCCTGATGTGTGAAACAGCCCTGCAGGCTCCTCTCATACAGCATGCCAAGCATCAAACCTGGGGCATCCTGCTGCTGTCTTGGGAAAGGTCTTTGAGTGCTCTCATTCTGTATTTGCTACTGCAGAGCTTGGCTGGCAACCCAGAGGTATTTCCTTTCAGATCATTTTTCTCTATTCTAGAGATGATTTTCACTCATTCATTCCCTCACATTGAACTGACTCCTTAAATGAACATTTCCCAGCCAGCCTCCTGAGCCCAACTGTGAGAACTGTCTTGCAGGCTTCATAAGAAAATGGGAAAAGCTCTTTGGTTGGCAGATCAGAAACTTGGGGGAAAAATCATGTACTAACATAAAAAGGTCACAGATCAGAAACTGGGACATGAGAAAAACAAAAGGTGCTCAACTGCACATGAACCTGCTCATGGCAACCTTGTAAGCTTGGAGGCATTAAAGGGAAGAAAATTTTCTTCTGGCTGGAGCTTCATTCCCTGATAGATGTATTTACTCTATTTGTATCTGTTCCAAGAGAAACACGTGAAGTCCTCTATTTATCAGGCTGCTCTTACAGTCCATTTGGGTTGCACTATTTTTTGTGAAGGACTGTCACTGCAGCCATGCAGGTAGTTCAATGCATTACCAAAAAAAAAAATAAAAAAGAAAAAAGAAACATCTTCCCTGCTCTATTTCCCCTGCCCTTTTTTCCTGTCTCTAAACTTGCTAAACTCCAAAAATGAGTTTTGCTCGCAGACCTTAATATACTGAGTTTGGAAATGGATTAAGCAATGCTTTTAGAGATTTCTGACAGCTTTACCCTTCAGGAAGAAATGCAAACAAAATTAAAGCTGCTTCATGAATCTTTAAAGTGTTTAATACAAGATACACTTTTCCAATGAACTACTGGGACGGAGTTGACTGAAGGTTCCTCTCCTTCACAAACCTGATGAAATTGCTGGGCTTGAAGAAACATCTGCAGTTATAGCAAAAAAACCCTACCCCTACATGATCTGTGCCTTGAAAG